GTAGCCTACTGAATTAAGTTGCACCAGAGAAAGTAATTATTAACCTAACATAGCTAACGTGGGGCGGTGCGGGTTTCATTGAATTGCGATCACAGATGAACAATTTTAATAGTCAGCATCTTCAGTCCTTATTTCTACTCTTGCACGGACTTTATTCTACTTTAAAGTAGTGTTGAACATTCATCTCCACCCCTTATCTCGATATTTTACTCTACATTGAATATATTATTTTTATTCATTTTTTATTTCAAATAAATTGATATATATTATGTTTTAAAATAACATAAAATAATTATTTGACTATGTTGCAAAGTACGATATTTCATGTGAAATTATAATTTTATACCAAAAGTTAAGTCGATCCGGCAAAAAACATATAGCTTTTCTTTCAAATCAGATGTTTCTAGTATCTGGAATTTGGTAACAAATCCCCTAATTTGACCAATTATTGATCATATCCATATATTCAAGTCCTCTATATTACAAAACCACGTCTCAATTTATGATTGGTTAAGGGAACAATTAGTCAATGCATAGATCTTATTTATTTGGAGGCAAAAATATTTCCTTGTCCTTTTGATGGTTAAAAACTCTATCCTTATTTCAGTGGGACCAAGATCCAGGTTAGTAAACAACTCGGCTCATTAAATAAACGAGGCATAAATCGAACTAGAGCTCGGCTCATTATCACTATTAACGAGCCGATCTCGAGCTTTAACGAGTCGAACTCTAGAAAATTATATGAAAATTCATTTTTCGAGTATTATCGAGCCGAACGAACACAACTAGTTAACCAAACCAGCTTTAAATGAGCTCGAGCTTGGATCGTTAAGGTTTGAGCTGAACTCGAGCCGACGAGCCAGACTCGTTTAATTTAAACGCACCATATGTACCTGAATTGTAGCAATCAAATCACCTCACCTTTAAGACTTTCTAACTGGCAACGTTTGTATTTCGCATCTGCACACTACAAATAAGTTCTGTACTTCTGTTGAACTCCAGAAGATATTATGAACAAAAATTTTAATCTGATCAGTTCATCCCCTCCACAGGTGACGGGCAAAATCCGACAAGCTCCCGATTGAAGTTCAGACGGCCATGGAACTTACAGGGTGAGAAGAAAGGAATTTATCCGCTTGTATAATGTTAAGGAGTGAAACTAAATTAAACTTTCCCTTCGAATTGGAAATTTATCTTGTAGTCGTGCTGCAGTGTTGCAAGAGTAGTTCTGCAAGGACCCTCTATAGAGAGCCAAGTTGAAAAAGCAAGTTTTAGTTCATCCATGCGGCATAAAATAAGTTGTTCTCGATTTATATCAAAATCATAATTAGGATCGTCCAAAAAAAAAAGGAAAGGAACATTACCAACTAGATGCAACTTATAAAGTGAAAATTCCATTTTATTTCACTAACTTGTAATGCATCCAATTTGTAGAAGAGAAACGCACGTCAATGAGGTATTTGTAAGTTTGGGAGATAACTGAGAGCCCTTTTCTTTTTTTTTTCTTTTTTTCAGTTGAAGATTAATGGGGTTAAACACTATTAATTATGCATGGAATGCTCACCTCCAAATATAGTATGAAGAAGTTGAAGATCATCTGGTGAGCATGAGTCTATCAATGCATATACACCGGGCTTCAAAGCTTCGTCTACTTCCCTGAAAACATGTCAAGAAAAGCATCTAGAGTTGGTACAAACAGTTGAGTCTTATGTTACTGCTATTGAATGAGAAAAAAGAAAACTAAAAATCATCACAAATTCATTGAAAGACGGGATGTTAAGGGTGGATATAAATCAAATTGAGTTTTAATTGGATTTTTTTGTTAATCATTGAAAAAGTTGGTCGGGTTAGGTTTATGTTGAAAAAGTTGGTTGGGTTAGGTTTAGGGGTGTAAACGAGCTCGTCAATTTAACGAGCTTATAATCGAGCTCGGCTCGTTTATCAATATTAATGAGTGGAGCTCGAGCCTTAACGAGCTAAAATCAAGCCAAACTACAGAAAAATACATAAAAATCATCTTTTCGAGCTCGACTCGTTAACTAAACGAGCTTCAAATGAGCTCGAGCTCGGCTCGTGTATCAAATGAGCCGAGTCGAGCTGGGCTCGTTAGGAGTGAGTTAGGTTTGAGTGAATATTTGAGTTTGTACTAACATAATATTTAAAATAAAATAATTAAATTGATTTTTAATGTAAAAGTAGGAGAGATGTGATTGAAAGTGGGTGACTGAATGAATAGTGAATTAATAATTAATTTTGATGTGATGTGTGTGGATGATTGATTGGTATTACTTAATTACATTGATAATATTGAGAAGGGTTCGGTTGGAATTAAACTTGAGTTAGATTTTTATTAGTTAAAAAAGTACCTTATGATGCCGTTTCTAGCCGGGCCAAATCCACAATAAACCCAGATGTAGCGAGACAAAAACTGAAATGAACAACGCCCAAATGCTTCTTTTTGTTGCCGTACCTAAAAAGGGATGATGAGGAGAGGTTGTTATAGCAAGCGGAGAAATTTAACATTGACATCCAACTAATAACAGCCCACAGAATTAGTTGAAAAACAGTGCTGAAAATTGCAGCCATAATATCTTCATCGGAAAATGATATTTATTGATGCGACTATTGAGAAGGCCGTATATAGAAACACACCTCTTCATAAACTCTTCGGAGGCTACTGGCGCATTTCACAGCCTCTCTTACTTCCCATGCAAAAAACTT